GTAGGGAAATCTAAGGAGAGCCCTTTGAAGAAGGAAACCCTCTCTTTGTGGGAGGATCCTACCGCTTATACTCATGAAGAGTTTTTGATACCAGTGAAAGCTTGTTTTTAGCCAAGACATTTGCAATGCAACAGCTGAGTGGTGTCTGATTCAGTAAAACCCTGATGTCTGAGTGGTCTTCACTTCTCTCTAGACAGCTTCCTCCTTTCGCACTTCTTGAGAGCCAAGTGCACTGCCCATATGAAAGCACCTCACTGCATCACTGAGAGTGCCCGCTCACACTGGCTGCGGAGTCTGGTAGGAGATGGCTGTCTGGCTGTGCCATTGTGCAGGGTGTGCTGGGAAAGGCCCCCAAAAGGGAGATGAACCTGTAAATTGTGTGTAGTCAAAATCACTGTCTTCATTAGCTGTTTTATCACTCCAGAGAGCTCATGTGGGTAAGGTTTGCAACAAAGCAACCTTTGGTTTATAGCATTTTTCCTGCTGCCCAGCCTGGGACAGGTCCTTAGGAGGAAGAGGTCTCTGACATAGGGGGGCAGAGCACAGCTGCGGCCGTTGCATTGCCCTGAGCCCAGAGACGGCTCCAGTACCTTGCTGAGAGCCCTGACAGATGGGGAGAGGAGCAAGTGGCTTTGTGCGGCTCTATGAGGCTGGTGCAGCAGCTGCACTCCTCCAGGGAAGGTTTAGCTCAGATTAGCCAAAACGAACTCCTCTCCCAAAGACATGCTGATGTGAGTTGCACAGGGCTGGTCTCAGCTGGAAATCGCTCCTTGCAGGTCTTAACACTGAGCAGCAAGGACAATCAAGAGCGGTAACAAGACACCTGGGGCCCACTTGGTATTTCAGATATGTAGGCACAGATCAGGCAGCTGTGGCTCTAGGGAGCTGTGGGGTCGCAACGATGCTTGGCAGCATTTCTCAGGCCTGAACTGCATCTCAAGATAGTTGGGGGAGGGAGGGAAAAGGGGACAGCGGCTTTCTACCCTCCCGTGGAAGAACTCCACTGAACAGCGAGGGCTTCCTAGGCTCTTATATCACACTCGTCCCCACGGTAACGAGTGGCTTTGCAATTTCCAGCACTGATGTATTTCTAGAAGACAGAACACGCTGCTCCTGTCAGTGATGTGTTTTAACTGTTATCAGCATTTATCTGCTTCAGGAATTCAGAGCGATAAGTGGATTAAGTGTGGTAGGTTTGTAGGGCTGTTAGGTCAACATCCTCCTTGCGTCCTTTCCCTTCTTTTCCTATAAACAAGCCCCTGGCCACTCTAAATGCCAAGGCCTAGAAATACCACTGTCTAGAATTAAAAAAAAAATATATATAGATCTAGCATTTCAAAAGAGATCACACGTAAGACTCAGCTGTGGGATTAGAGGCATGCCGGGCCAGAAATACATTCACTGCTGGAATTTGCTATGGTAGAGCTTGCTGAAAAGAAATGGCTTTGAAATGACTACCCAGCAGCTATTAACTTCAAGATAGGATGACATCCTGTTCCTTAGAGCCTAAAAAGAGCCTGAATCTTTTAATGTTAAATTCTAATTCAATTTGGTTTGGAAATTTTGGACAGGGCTTTAACCTTAAAGATATAAATGGGAGGAAGATGAGGAAGAGCAGTGCAGTTGTGTGTTTCTATAATCAGCCTGTAGTGGAGCTGGACTGTTCCTCCCTGAAACTTTGGTGGAACTCAATGAGGATGTATGTGCCAAGGGATATAAATGACAACGGTGATAAGGATTAGGTTGTCTTATGACCTTCAGCCATACATGATATAGTGCACTACTGCACGAGAGCTGGTCCCTGCAGCATGATGAGGAGGGAACTGCTTGCTCAGCTGTGTCCCAGCCACAGCACAGACTAGCCAGGATCCGTACGGCTTGGTCCTTCCTCTGATGCAGCAAATGTTGAACACTTCCTGAGACTAAATACAGGATTGGGCCAGTGCTAGCAACAGTTTCTGCCTGTAGCTGGAAAGCACCCATTAATTTCACTCACATGCTATTAAAAGCCTGTGATAGTGGCCAGCATTCCCAGCCGTGAGGAAAAGCACATTGTTCTGGCACTCAAGAACAAGTTTGTGCAAGTGCTGAACCTACCAGAATTGCTTGTTCACAGCTGTGTCCAATGTACACTCACAAGCAAATGCGCGCGCGTGCACACACACACACACACACACACACGTGCCCACACATGCCCTGAGAGCCAACTCTAGGGAAAGCATTTATCCAAACAGAGAGTGTTGCTAGCCAAGGCAAAAGCAACGCTGCGGAGATCACAACAAAGCTCTTTATTGCTGAAGCGTTTAACGCCACAACCATCCAAAAGAGAAACACCGCTTGGCGCAGAGAAGAGCTGCAGCAACTCAACAAGCCTGATTGCAGAGCCTGCCTGAGAGCATTTCAGAGCATTCCCCAGCACAGCAGCTCTGGATTTGCTGCCTTGTCAGAAACCAGCTCAATCCCCCGTCACTGGAAAACCAGCCAGCGGCAACATGCACGCCTCTGAGGATTCACAATCTCTTTGACTCCTCTAACCCCAGACTCTGTGGCTTACAGTTTCCCTCTGGCTGGTGGTAAGAGCGATAGGAGAGCCAGTACAAGCAGGGCTGTACTTCTGCCAGCATTTTTACCACCGTTCTGTGTTGAGTAGCTCTCAGCAGGGCTGGATGACGCTGAGGTAAAAGCTGCCAATGCCCTCTCTGCATTTCTACCAGTTGAACTGCTCTAGGGAAGAGAACAATCAGCAACTAGAATGGAAACTAGAAAAAGAAAGGTGTTGACACTACTGTAGGGAAGGGAGGGGGCACTTTTGTAGTTCCCTTTCACCAACAAAATGAGCCTGCCTCAGAAATCACTCTGCTTCTGCTCTTTTTCTGTTGATCTACTGGAAAGATTCCTGGGGACTAAATTATCATCACACGCCTGATACGCTCTCAGGGGCTCACACTCCATGCCTGCGATTCAACCTCACAGCATTCCCCTACAGCTCCCCTTCACAGCTTTCCTTTTATAGCCTCCCTGTGACAAGCTGGGGAAGGAGTGGGATTCTGCCTCTAAGGACTTCTTTGACTTCTCAGGCTGACATCTTCCAGGAAAATTTCCACCTGGCTCAGCCCCAGAGCCCACAGGGTTGTGGGAAACATAGGGAGGAGGTGAGGGGAAGGCAGAAGGAAAATGCCTTCCCCTCACGCTTCAGCCCTCATCCTAAAACGCGGGAGATCATTGTACAGAGTGCCAGTGTCAGGCCAAGCATGGTCCGCGCCTTTGTTGGCCTTAGGCACGTACTCCTGTTCGCTCGCCCCAGTGGAGCACTCCTCATTGAAGCAGCCAAGCTGGGTATCGCCTTTCCCCAAACCAGCACAACATGAAATGGTGCAGAGCTGCCTCAGGTCTTCCCCACAGGGAGGTTGGGAAGGACACGCCAGCGAGACACACTGCCCCCTGCTAAATGAATCGCCAGCTCCTTTAGGCTGACTTGTTATACGCAGAGTAAAGGCTGGACCCTGGGGCTGTGGCAAACTTGGGGGAGGGGAACGCAAGGATCTGGGTGGGTAAGTTACCTTGCTGACAGCGGAGTAAAGCGGGCCATGTTTGATCTGTTTGCGATCAAGCGTGGGAAAGTTTCCAAGAGGAAACAACACGCAGGACAGTTAAATGAAACCTGAGCAGACACCCTGCCTCTGCTAGGGTTGTTCAACTTGCACCAGCGCCACGGCAGACCCTGGCTCGCGTCCCCGCC